GATCGGTCAGTATTTTATTAATACAGTGATCATAGTGTCAACAATTTAACATCTAGTCGACATATTATTTTTATCTTATTAAGAATCACCTGTTTAACTTGAAACTTAACTTTAAGTATATATATTTGGTGCTACCATTGGTCTCACGGTTACTGCGTAAAGAGTATCACAGAAATTAGGTACGAAGGTTCCTAATACACAGCGAACATCTGTCTATGTCATCCAGATATTATTCTAGGCATAGGGTTGATAAGCGTAAGCAGTAGACAGAAGGAAATATTAATTGGAAATATACTGATTTTTAATGTCAAAATGCAGTTTTGACCTTTTTTGTACTATTAATCACAAAAGTCGATTCAAACAATATACATAAACGATCTCTACATATATCTATATATACAAACATACTGATTTCTCTGCAAAAATTATTTTACTATCGACTTTATCAGTTCAATACGATATGAATCTTGTGATAAAACTCACGATTTTATTCACTTTTCAGTCGGTATTCACAGTACAAGGCGACACAATCGCCTTAGAACTCTCCTAGTGTGGTGTGGTGTTCGGTACCCGGTCATATGTTCAGTAATAATATAAAAAAGTTAATGAACTAAACTGAATATGGCTGGTAGTGACTATACTACGAATAAGGCAGGTTTCCAAGACTCGGTGATGTATAACATTATTGTTTACATTTGTTTTTTTTCTGCTTTAAATATGTCAGCCTTCTTTTGTTTGGAAAATTTGTAAATTGGAATAATAATTTCATTCTGTTTGCGAAGAAAACATTGATATCTATTGATCGTTTTTTTTTAATGTTAAGTCACTATAAAACTCTTTGTTATTGTAAAAAATATAGTGTGCGACCTAGGTTACTCTTTTAGCTAAAAGAGGTCCTGAACTAACATCAACACTTTCTTGTTTATTATCAAAATACGATGTTTTGGTGGTATTTAATTTATTTGCAATGATTATGTATCAATTTAAATACCTTTGAAATATCAAACTATTAAATGTAATCGCGTAATAATACTATTAAGGAAAATACTTTTATATGCATCTATAGCTATTTTGAGATACATACATACAGAATATCACGCCTTTTATCCTCGAAGGGGTAGGCAGAGGTGCACACAGAGTAACACCCACTTTTCATTATTTATGTTATGAGTCCCATGTAATAGGGAGTGAGCTTATTGCCATATATCAGGCACTTTTCCAGACTCCGTGCTACTACTGAGATTTTTTTTAAAACCTAGTAATACTTTGCCCGACTCGGGAATCGAAATCAAGACCCTTTGCCCGGCAGTCGCACTTGCCACCACTCGGACATCGAGGTTATTTTGAGATATACATACACATAATATGTGATACGAAATGCAGGGTTGACATTTATAAGATTTAAATAGAGAATCCTGTCAAAGAGGTTGTAAATAATTGTACAAACTATATCTTTACTTGTACGATAAACCTTTTCTCTTTAAGTCATTGTGTTAATTTTTCAAAATAATTTATTTACTGTTTACATCCGTAAATTAACGTAATCAGTCAAAATATTTTCTTATCTACAAACAATAACGTGACACGATCGCTCTACTTATTATCTAAAGAATTCGGTTACAATTTGACTTACTGTACTAATCTTTCATTCTGCGCTTTACATATATAAGGCCGTTGTTTCATCATTCAAATTTGGGATTTAGGTGTAATTACATATAAGGTCAAAAATGAATTGAACAACTCGTATGACTAATCTGGAAGTTCTTGAGGAGTTCTAGGTTTAGCAGTAAACATCTCCTAGCTAAAAATATAAGTTAAAAATTAATTAACACAGTTTAAGAACGTTGTACAAGATAACAATATGATATATCTCTTTTTTGAAAAATTTAAAAATTTAAAATTGAATTGCTCATCAATCTGTGACTCAGATCAGCTAATTTCTCATTCCAAGCTGAAAAGGAGAAGAACATGATCCTGTAGCAAGGATTATATTATAATGTGCATCTCCGCCTACCCCTTCGAGGATAAAAGGCGTGATGTTATGTTATGTTACTATTGTAATAATGATCATGACAAAGGCTTCAAGAGCACACAATACAAGGACAGCATAACAATAAAAATTGGTATTCTAATGTCCAAAACCCAGATAATAAGATCGTATGATAGCCTATATAAACTCCAATGGATAATCGGTATTTTATCACTTATCATAGTAAAGTGATTTACAAATGTCGTGGGCTATTATCAGTTATCAACGATTCGGCTGCAAATCAACGTGTGCTTGATAATATTTGAATATATACAAAATATAATAAAAAATGTGTTATGATGGCCGGCGTGGTTGATACCCTGAGGCCCAATTACCCTCCCCTTCCCCAATCTCCCCAATCACTGAATCCCCAGCGATCCTCAAACTCCTAATCCCCAAAAAGCCGGTAACGCACTTGTAACGCCTCTGGTGTTCCAGGTGTCCATGGGCGACGCCGATTGCTTACCATCAGGTGATCCGTCTGCTAGTTTACCGGCTTATGCCATAAAAAAAATTAAGTTAATTAAAACTCTGCGTCTTCGGTTTCATTCATGGAAACTGGATGTTCTACGTTGAATAGACCTTGATCTGGAAAATAACCCCTAAAAACTAAAGTATCCATTAGTAAAGGCTTTTTTGTTAATCAGTCTATTAGTTTTGGCCGTTATCCCAAGTTTTCGGGCCTTCTTCTTTCACTGTCTCCGGTCATCCTATCTTGAAGCACCTATTCTTTCATACCACTTATTCTTATTATTACCTATTCTTATTTATTTCTGGCACTGATTGCTTACCATCTGGTGATCCGTCTGCTCGTTTGCCTCCTATACCATAAAAATACCACTTTTTATACAATCAGTGTTTGTCTGGTCGTCCTCTTCCTTTTCATCTATCCACATCAAAATGTATCGTTCTATCGTCTGTATATCTACCTTCATAAAAGACAGCAGGAAATAGTAGTTAATACCTAGTATAAAAAATCCATCCTACATTTATAAAACCGGGCGATAAAAAATATTTATCGCGATCACATTTCATTAACCTTGTTGCATTTACATGTTTTGATTACAGTATTTCATTAAAATAGTCTGTTATACTTATAACTCACATTTTTTAATAACTAGAAAAAGAAATCATCGTCATTCAATGAGATTGAAAATAAAATTAATGTACTTTGTCGTTACTACGGTCATATTGTTTACAATTACCGTACAAGGAAACTAACGATCTAATACATGCACTTTATCAACAAATATACAATTTAAAAGGTTGTCTTCACGATGCTCGTAAATAAAGTTATCGATTTTGAAACAATAATGTAGGTAATGACAATTTTATCGATACAAAATGTAATCGAAGCATAAAAATCACGTTTCATAGTATAGATAACGATTTTTGCACGATAATTTTATTGACACACGTGGTTCAGATCTCGTAGTTATGACAGATTTAATGTTTATTATACATATCTAACACATTGGCATGTCCTACAGATGTCCTTCTATATTCTCGAGACTAGCAAGAAAAAATGGTTCACTGTTTTGATGCTCATACCGATTTATTTTTGTTGTTTAATCGACTTCTCGAAAAGAACTATGTTCTTAATTCATCTGTTCAATTCATGTTTCTTTGTCGTACACAAAAAATAATATATTATACACTTTTCACTAATAAGGGGTGAGCTTATAGCTACTATTAAGAATTTCTAAAAAAACCTGTAATGCTTTGCCTGACCTGTGTATCGAACCCGAGACTCCTTGCCCAGTGGCACTTGCGACCACTCGGCCTCCGAGGCAATCAGAAAAAGGTCAGGTAGAAAAAAAATCGTAAGAAATATTTACAATATCTATTAACGATCTGAAAATGATTGACCAATTGTGTAAAATGTGACGTTGTTTTGTATCGAATTCTTGAAGTGTTGATAAGATCATCAAATTGTGTAATATAATACAGTAACAGGTAAATACATCAGTTGGTTTATCGACACATCTCCCGATGACTCAGTAGACGAACGAAACAGATGTGCGATAAGTTTGAGACATTTTTTTATTACAATGAGATAAAATTATTTAGGCACTATATGTTTCATCATTATCATTATATCATATCAGCTAAAAAACGTTTACTATTGAATATCGTCCTCCCATCTACACACACATAAGATCTGCAGCCTGCAAGTGGCCACGGTCGACCAAAGCCCTCTTCTCACACGAAGAAGGTTTGAGCATTAATCATCACGCTCGCTCAATGTGGGTTGGCGATTTCAAACTTATTACTAGAAATTATTATTCAAGCCTAGGATTCCTCACGATTTATTTCTTCATCGTTTGTCAGTGGTGTCTAAATAGTCTTAGAAAGTACATAATACTCGTGTGTGTTTCCGAGTTATAATATAACTTGTCACATTGGTAGTTGCCGTCGATAGGTTTCGAATCCATCTACTCAATAACAACTAAAAATGAGAAATTACAGTATGTGTGTATGTATCAGTGTCAAAAAGCAATGTTTTTTTAGTCAAAACGGGTAAATCAATATTTTGACATAGAAACACAAAAAGGTAATTGTTTTGGTAGACATACATCATAATGATGATTAAGAAAAAAAGATAATAATGTACTTTAATCAGATAAGAATAGAGAATTGATTGAATTGATAATAATGTAATTTCAGGTCGTGATAGCTAGCGGCATTAGATGTTTCAAACGTATTAATACATTATTAGCGCCCCTTTATCAATTAATTTGGCAATAGTTAATGTGCTAAAGATAATAAAAATATAACCAATAACGTGAAAGATATGGAGTTGAACTGTCAACATTTTGGTAAAACTCCAATTATTTATTTAATTTCTGGCCTGCTACTATAATGATATTAAGAGTTATCCACTCTTACAATGAATAAGTTTAAAAATCAAGACAGTCGAAACAAAAATTATATGAATTTGTAAATTTCTTGTACCTATAGTATTACATAAATGTCAAATGTAAGGTGGCACACAGAATTTTCATTTAAGCGGAGACTCCCGAACATAGTGTCATAAAAATTACAATTAATTTAATTGCGTAGTAAACAGTGTGATATAAATTATTCCCTAAGCTCGATCATAACAAGCCCAATACAAGTCTCTTATTAAAAAAAAAACCCTTAAAATCTAAACAAACAGGTCTTTCGATTGTTTGTGTCAGCGCTCGTCTAAGCAACTATTCTAACTTTTCAATAGAAAGAAAGAACGATACGTGACGATAAAGTTACCTTCTATCCTAAAATAACCGAAATGAGACAAGAAACAGCTCTGTAACAAATTCGATTAAACGCCAATAGGTCCCCATTAATACTGAGAGCAAGTTTGAACCTGTTCACTCGGTGATCCAATAATGGCAGCGAAACTGCTTCACTTGTAAACTTCCGGCTAATGTATTCCTAAACCGGTGTCTTAGTTCTGTAATCGCCAATAAAGTAATTACGTAAACTTTGTGCGGACGCGAAAAACGGGAAGTGTTCCAAAACTGAATCCCTTCAAACAAGGGAATAATCGTTCTCATTAAAATGTAAATGCGTCGGATTGTGACGAGAGCTTCAATGGAGTCGCCCGAGTTTTCCTTCGATACGCTTTTCCGCTTTTCAAATAATATTATGCAGGAGTCGGTATTATTCTCGGAACTAACGGCCAACTTCTTGCCCACATACTTTATGTTTACCAAGGAACAGCGGAATGATTGGAGTTGTTTTTTATTCTTCCCTATTCTGAAATCTTTTGATACTTCAGCAATCGAAGTATTAATGATAAGTAATGAGATACTTCATACGTGTTTCATAGACTTTGGAATTTTGTTCTAGCGATGTAATCACAGAGCTCATAATCTTTAGATTATGAGACTTCAAGGTTAGCGAAGTGTCTGGGTCAATGCCTCCTCTGTTACTTATCGCGGTTAAATTATTTTCGGGAATAATGCTTTTAAAGTTCCTGGTCGTTTTAAACTAATATTTTACATTTTATTTCAGGCTGAACCAAATGGAAAAGCAACAACAGGCAGTGATACTCCCGAAAGGGCGTCTTGGGGACGACCCTTGGAGTTTATTCTAGCCTGTCTTGGATACGCTGTGGGTTTGGGTAACGTCTGGAGATTCCCTTACCTCTGCTACAGGAATGGAGGCGGTAAGTTGCAGACTTTTGTGACTTAAAATAAAAATAAAAATGTCAAATTGTAATTATAAAGGTAGGGAAAGATCTGAGTTTTTGTTTTCCTTAAATAAGCTCCTAAACTACTGGACTCGCACTGAAAGTTTGACGCATCTTAACTGATTAGTAGACTACAAATAGATATAAAGTCTGTAGCACCTTCTCTATCAGACAACTTTTCGATACTCAGATATTTTTGACACAGCAGAAATGGCCTCCCACGCAGTTGCTACACTTTCGACCGTTACTACACACCTAGTCGGGTTCAGAATCATATAATCTAACGATTTTATAGGGTTTTTGCCGTATTGCTATGAGACATGGTTTTGGTCGTCATTTCTCGTACTATATAATAAAGTAACACACTTTTACGCAGAAAACCAAATGACTCTTACTTACAAGAAAGAACTTCCACGATAAATGACAACAATCAAACAGCTATAAGTAGTAAACACATACACACAAGAAAGTATATTCCAACCTCCCAACACGTCAGCGAAGGTTGAAAGAATAATAATAAAAGTGAAGAGCCAAACAAAAAACAAATCGCTCTGAATCAATATGAATTATTTATTGAATCCCTATCGGTCAATAAGGCTTTCCTGTCAGCCAGCATCTACTCGTTCCGGGACTTAGAACCGAAATTTTACTAGATAATATATTATTTATGGAACATTAAGGCGCTAGTTGCCAGATTAGCATTATTTTTAAATTTTTTATTCATGTTTTTTTATAGAACGTACTTTTATTTATCGACTATGCTCGACGCTTGTTTGAATTTTGTTGAAATCGTATGGCGTTCGGGGAATAATAACGGATATTTTTAATACTTCCATACTTGAATAATTTTTTTCTTATTAATGGTTGATAAGCCGATGCTTTTCTGTGAAAATAATGTCATGTTTTACAACCGTGATTGTATTATCAATGAATGAAAGTGTGACTGTTTAATGATGTTTTCATAGTTTTTATATCTATCTTGTCTTCAAATTTATATTATCCATATTTGTGTTGACATCAGATTTAGTTTAAATACATATTAACTTATTTTATTGTAAAATGATAGTAAGCTATTATTGTACAATAAAATGTAGTGTAAAATGATAAACTCCCCTTAAAACGCCTAACCATAATTACTATAAGTTAATACTGCATAATATTTAACTTTATTTTTTTGTTCCAGGTGCTTTCCTCATTCCATTCTTCCTCATGTTACTCTTCATTGGATTGCCTCTTTTCTACCTAGAGCTGTACATAGGCCAGTACACTGGTATCGGTCCCTTGCAGGCTTTCAGTGCCATTTCTCCCTTCTTCACTGGCTTGGGTTACTGCACCCTGGTCGTGATCTCCATCATTTCCGTTTACTACATGATTATCGTCGCCTGGACCTTGTTCTACACTATCGTATCCATCTCGGAAACATTGATTGGGGTTCCTGTGTGAACGACTACAATAGTGATGGTAAGATTTTTGTTTTTTTTTTTGCTATTGAATATCGAAGTTTAATACTTGGGTTATTAAGTGAGAAGTAGATAGATAAAATTTGATTTATTGTGTGGATAAAAATGTCCCGCACATGACCAATAAAGATGTTCCAAGTGAAACCACAAACCAGTCGTCGCGGGAGACAATCCAGGCGCACCGTAAATACGGGTCTGTGGACAGCGAATAAGAGTAGCTCGCCGCTTGATCAAAACCAAACCCGTGCGTACGGCGTCGCGTCCCGCGCGCTCCTCAAAAACCCATCAGACCACAGATGGGGTCCAGTAGGGTTGATGCCCGATACGGAGCCGCGGAAACCCTAACGGGTTGCCAGGGCTACGGCTCGAAGAGCAGGAATAGGAAAGGGGCGGTTGTTAGTCAGTAAGAGTCTGACACTTCCTCTCGCCTAACCTAAGGCGTGAGAAATCATTGGATAATTTTCCCCCTCAACAAAGACGAAAAACTAAAAAGTGAAACTACATAGAATGTACTAATCTAAATATACTACTCAAAACAAAATGTAGGCCACCATTTTTTTAGGTTTTTATCAAAAAGGTTTAATTTGTTTCTGGTGTTAGAATTGTTTAGAGATACTGAGTCACGAAATTCATAAATGTTTTTTTTTAATTTTATTTTTTGTAGTCAACTCTCGAGTTACTCTAAGACAAATATTTAAAAACGATGGTGGCCCTTATTTCGTTTTAAGCTTACGATATTACGACGCTTAATGTAACATTAAGGACCTACAGAGTGGGAATTGTCGGAAGTTGAAGTCTGTGGGAGTTGTGGGAATTGTCGCGGAGAACTAACGGGTTACCGGGCTCCGGCTCGACGTGCAGGAGAAGGAACGGGGTGGTTTTTAGTCAGTAGGAGTCTGACACTCCCTCCCGCCTCATCCAGGCGGGAGCAGTCATTCGATGATTTTCCCCCTTAAAAAAAAAACACTGTGGGAATTAAGTAGACCAACTTTCTGACCGCTTGTCAATTATGTCATTCTGATAATAAGTATGTGTTTTGTCACCAGCTTGTTACAGTGGAGACTATGACAACCATTGTAGAGAAAATAACACAGGAGCAGCTACAGACCTCACCTACTATCTGAGGCAATGTATTAGTATTGGAGATATCTGTGTACAAACCGGCTTCCAACCCTATGATGGCAAGCAATGCTTGGATGGAAATGACCTTATACCATGGTACACGAATGTAACAAGGGTTTTGGCATCTGAGGAGTATTACAAGTAAGTGTGTATAAGTTATTTTATCAATTTTTAACTTTACATGTATTTTAAAATTTAAAACAATTGGGATGATGACAGGGTATGACAATTAAAAATTAGGTAATTAAAACATATTAGACACGTATATTTTTTATTTTGTCGTATAATAAAACAATACTTAGATTAAACGAATTAAAATTTAGGAGTGGGGGCTAAAAAGTCATTTCTACGTATAAAATGTACATAGAAGTGACATCACGCGACATTTGAAATCAATATATCGTCGAAAGTATTCGTTTCTGTAAGAAAATAAAAAATACGTGTCTAATGATTTAAAATAATCTACCAGACGGACATTAAAATAAAAATTAAGCATCTACCCTATTCAATACACAATCGGCTTAAGTTTAATACAAGTAAGTGTGTGAAAGTTACTTATAATTTTTTAACAAATCCGAAAACAACTACATAATCTAGATGACATACTTATATTCAAAACGAACACAATTATAATCCAAGCTACTTGATTTTAAATTGTTCGTAAAATAATTATTTACTAATATCAAGTGTTCTGACCTTTTATAATCAGGCAATAGCCACCGTTCACTATTGATAATTTGAATTATTTATATCAGATTAAATTGATAAAATACTCGTGGTTCTGTGACGAAACGATATCTCGTGTAAGTAATTTTGAACTTTAATTGTAGATGCATTTAATTTGTTTTAGAAACTCACGTGGTTTAGATTTGAAGACTTAGTCTCCATATTTTTTATTTTAAAAGGCTTTATGCACGTTCTAATGTACAAGGTGGGCTTAATACCAGTCTGGCTCGAAGTATATGAGTAGGAACGGGGTGGTTTTTAGTCAGTAAGAGTCTGACACTCTCTCCCGCCTCACCCAGGCGGAAGAAGTTATTCGATGATTTTCACTCCTTAAAAAAAGTCAGGCATTCCCATCCAGCCAGACCTTTGCAATAGTAGGTATTTAACTTTCTTTGTAAGAAATTAATTATCAGAGGACAGTAAGCTGCATACATAAGTCTTGTATGCCACATGGTAAACCATGTATGATTAATATTGTATGGATGAATGATTAGTCGTCGTGGTAGCCCGAAGGTTAAGACGCCCGCTTCTCATGTATGAGGGTGCGGGTTCGAAGCCTACCAACGGCAAGTACCAATGTGACGTTTTCCAAGTTATATGTAATTTCTAAGATTATTTAGACACCACTGACAAACGGTGAAGGAAAACATCGTGAGGAAACCTGGACTTATAATTTCTAATTATTAGTTTGAAATAGCCAACCCGCAATGAGCAAGAATGGTGATTAATGCTCAAACCTTCTCCGTGTGAGAAGAGGCTTTGCTCAGCAGTGGGCACTTATAGACTGTTGATGAATGATTAGTAAATTTACTTAATTTATATTCTCTGAACATTTTTACGCTTTATTTTTAGATTTCAGTAATATATTTTTAAATCATTAACACGTTAAACGTCATAGGGGTCACCGGTAACCGACGTTAGCGGAGGATTTGCCTTCAATAGTTTTCTATTGAAGGCAATACTTTAAAGTTGGCCTAATACTTTTGTATTATATATAGTTGTACTTTTGTAACTAGTTATATCTTTCAATATTAGTATTAAATTATTCAATATAATTATTTTATTAATATTATTGTCCTTGTATCGTATAACATTTTCATCATTATTGCATTTCTAAAATTGTATATGACGTGTGCTATCTAATGGATTATACTAAACTATGTTTATCCGTGTTGCTTGTCGTTATCAAAATAATAGAGATAAAATACAACTGTTGCGTAGACAACGAATAAATTAACGATTATGACTCAACTATCTATACAATGGACCCTTGAAAAACCCACTTAGAGTATGAAATATAGATTTTTGTTCAATCTGTAATCACTACTGTTTCATTAATATATATATTAAAAAAAACGTTGCCCTACACTAGGATTTTCTCCTATGTCGTGGGTGCGTTTACAAACATACAATTTCACGCACACATGACACCCAGACCCGGAACAACAATCTGTGGATCACACAAAGAGTTGTTCCGTGCGGAAATTGAATTCGCGACACGTTGCGCGGCAGCCGGTTGCCCAGCCACAGCGCCGCCGTGTAGTCATATTTAAATTACGTAACTACTATAAACAATTTTACTTTCATCACCCGGTACTAGATAACCTTAAAGTCTGTATTCAATAAAATTTACCAAAAGCTTGAATTTCAATTGGTGTCAAGACCTTGAACTACACTAGCGCCCCCTACTGGTGTAAAATTCTTATCACAATGCGAATTTAATTGCCATTCTCATATCTAACCTAGAATAAAATAAATCTCAATCAATCAATCAATTTAACAATTATGACGTTGGTTAAATATCAAAATTAATAATATTCAATGAAAAATGTATTACACGATTAATGATTTTATATAGTTTATATCGACAGGAAAGGACTATCTTTTTCTAATTACGCAATGCTGGATTTTCCTAATTTCACCAATGACGTATTGATTATGATTAGCGTGAATGTCGAAGCAAACGTGTTATCAGTGTTTTAGCACCCACATTGCGCGAGTAAATCATCTCCTAATTAGTAGGCTGTCATCAGTAATTAATAAATACATATTTACAGTATCAATTTTAATATATTGTTTACTAATTTTGCTAGTTAGAGTTTTTTATATGGGATTAAAGCATTATAATATATTTTGTTTAACATTGACACCGATTTATTATAGCTACATTATTGTCAAATAAGAAAACACGTATTTTCCTTTAAATAAAGATACGGAATTTATCGCTCGACATCGCCGCGACCGCGCACGCTGCTCATAAGGAAGAACCCCCCTGTAGTTCGAAACTAGTAGAGCTTTTCTTGTATATTCACGTGAGTAACCCGCGATTTTTAGTTAAAATAAAATTGTTGCTAAGACCAAATAAAATATTGAAAATAACGGCTAATTATTTTCAAACATTCGTTCAAATCTCTAGTCTTTTATACAATATACCGAGAAACACCTAATCGATATCGATTAGATGAGCTAATTTCTATTCTCTCCAATTACAAAATCTAATAACTACGTAATTGTACTTGATTACCAATTATACTATACTTATTACTTAAATTTTAAGACTAACTAACGTCAATGCTGAACAGTGCCGTCTTAACTATAAGGGTACTCGGGGCCCGTGCTTAGGGCCCCCATCCTCAGGGGCAACAAGTGTGCTATTAGACGCAAAAATTTGATGACGTCATAACTTGATATTTCATACAAAATTCAAAGAAAAGTATAGTTTATGGCATATCGCTAAAAGTATTGAATTTGACTGGTTGTCTATTACTTTATTCTTATTCCATTTATTTTACTTTCAGTGAACGTGTGCTAGGCAGAGGTGATGCTACTTGGGAAAACTGGGGCACCATACAGTGGCACTTAGTAGGATGTCTGGCTTTATCATGGCTCATTGCTTTCTTCTGCGTCATCAAGGTAAGAACTGATATTATAAGACTTGCCTTAATAACTTTTACTAGTCTTTCTTAAGCAAGGCTCCAAATACATTTACCTCCATATTGGGGATATAGATATACTGGATATATCATCACTACATAGTTTAAAACAAACTCGCTAAATGCCGTCTGTCTCTCCCTATGTATACTTAGATCTTTAAAACTACGCAACGGATTTTGATGCGGTTTTTTTTTAATAGATAGAGTGATTCTTCAAAAGGTTTATATGCTATAATACATTCATAATAATGAAGAGAAACACTGATAAACTTAGAGGTTTCTAATTGCACCCGTGCGAAGCTGGGGTGGGTCGCTAGTTTTTTAATAAACTAACATATATTCTGTGAACTGTTCTTGTTCTTTGTGAATCTAAGTTATGATATTGGTACTTATAACAATAGAAATAAAAGTGGTTATTCTTTGCACAGTACTTAAAAATATCGTGTATACAAATTAGATTTTGAAGTTTTCAAAACAATACTTGTTTACAGGGTGTCCAATCGGCCGGCAAAGTAGTGTACTTCACTGCATTGTTCCCCTACGTGATGTTGACAGCTTTACTGATCAGAGGAGTCACTCTAGAAGGTGCTATTGATGGTGTCATTTTCTATTTGTCTCCAAATTGGAGCACCCTGCTCGATGCTCGTGTTTGGGGTGATGCTGCTTCACAGGTAATTATCATTTTAGTATGGATTCGCTTACTTAACTACTTAAGTATCATAGTCAGCTATTCTACGAATGGATGGGTAAATGTTACAGGAAAAATTTGTAACTGACTTCCAAAAAATGAGGTTCTCAGTTTCACCTGTGTATATACGCGATTAACTGAACCGATTTCAAAGAAGTGTTGGTTACACTTAGGAGAAGGTTTTAGTATATTAATTAACTAACTGTATTACTGGGTTTTAAAAAAAATCTCAGTAGTAGCACGGAGTCTGGAATTGTGCCCGGTATATGGCAATAGGCTCAACCCCTATTATATGGGACTTATAACAAAAAATAGTGAAAAGTGAGTGTTACATTGTACAGTGGCCTTAAGTGCCGTAATGTATACCTCTGCCTACCCTTTCGGGGATAAAAGGCATGATGTTATGTTATGTTAAGTTATTAACCGACTTCAGAAAAGAGGAGGTTGTAGTCGGTTTTTTTAAACGTGGTTTATAAAAGAATTATTGACCGTCATATACCACTGGATGTTATGTTGTCATTGCCATTGTATGATGGTGTTACATTGTACAGTGGCATAATGTGCATCTCTGCCTACCCCTTCGGGGATAAAAGGCGTGATGTTATGTTATGTTATATCACTTGAAATATTTTATGCGACATACCTTCTGCCAAAAAATCTATATTAATACCTTCGTCAAGTGGTAGGGTAGACTCAATCGAAACATTACGTGAATAACAAAACATAAAATATATCGATTTCGAGTCGACAACATATACACAAAATTCAGATTACGGAGATCATTTCGTTTTATTAATTCATTTTAATGACACTGACAGACAAACCGCAGTCGCCATCTTGAGTAGACAATAAACGTTCCGTTTCATACTAGCTCTCAAATACGCCTCGCCAATAAACACGTTGGCGCGTCAAAAAAGTATACATTAACAAGAAATATGAATAATTTCACGCGAACGAAGTCGCGGGTAACAGCTAGTGGGTGTTATTCTAGACTCCATGCTTTGAGTACTTCAAAAAACATTAGTCTTAATTTCGTCATTGACCTGATTAATCGTTTATGTCATCGTTATTTATTATAGTTTTCACTTTAATTCAAATCTACGAAAATCTTTTCTAATTTATAATGTTTACAGCCTTTACTTTAAACAAACTAATTTACCAAAAACGCTTTAAACTTTTAAAAACCTTTTAGCTAATCGAAAGAGTTAAATAGCAAAAAACTCACATAATTCAGTTACCGCAAGAATTTTGTACTAAAAAGGGTTGAATGAAAAACTTCTTTAACTGTAATTAGTTAAAAGACATTGCTAAATAAAGGCTATTAGGTAACCTATTAAATTTTTAAGAATTTGTTAAGAAAAATCATCAATCCTTCGAAGCCATCGGTTCATCGGAAACATTATTGTCTGTAACGGCAGCCATTATTTTGTGAATAAATAAATATGGCGGCTAATTATCTGGAAAGGTTCTTGAAAAACCTTTTTTGCAGGCCACAGACAGATGTTAATTAAAAAGTTTTTAGTATTTTTTTTAAGCTTTGTTTTTTATTATTATTGTGTATCATACTAGGCATCATTGAAATGATATTGCAAGCTATAGAAAGATACCTTATAATATATTAGTATTTAAGTATATTCCAAAAGTAATTGTTCAAAACATATATAATATTTTAATATACCTCTAAATCCATTAGCATTTATTTATTTACTTAATTCAAAGATAAACATGATTAGTTTTCAATGTCGTGTAAAAATTAAACACGAGTTCTCGATTTAACACCCAAGAGATATAAAAACAACATTAGATTTATTTGGAAAGTTGAACATGTTTCAATATAATTTATTTTGCTCATATTTTGTGTTTATTTAACATTTACATAAAAGATTTGTCATTAAGTTTAATAAATACGCATTTTACAAGTGCAAGTATCTCATAACAAATTGAGTAGGTACAAATCAGATAAATATAACTGATTGGCAAAAACTCACCACGAGATTTCTAGGTCAGGACAAATAATTATATAGTTTGCACATCATTAAACTGTCAAACATCAAGCGGTCACCGGTGACCGCAACCTATTGTTCTTTAATTGTGTCTATAAATACGGTACTCGGCGAGTTAAATTCTTTTAAAATACATACATACCACGGAGCCTTTTTTGAGGGGAGAAAACCATCCAATGACTTTTCCCGCCCGGGTGAGGTAAGAGGAAGTGTCAGACTCTTACTGACTAAAACCACCCCGTTCTTCTCCTGCACTTCGAACCGGACCCCTGGCATTCCGTTAGGTCCTCTGCGGCTCCGACGGAGCCTGTATAGTATTATAAATGATCAGTGTGAATGCAGGTTGCTTCCAATCCAGAGTCTGGAGGTCATCGGTGGAGCCTATATTCAGAGTGCCAAGCACGAATACCTATCGCATTTGTAACATAACAGTATCGAGGGCGTTCGGCGTTCTGATTGGCCGGTGAATTAACCAATCAGAGTTAGTTATTCGTGTTTGGCACTCAGAAGTTGATGTCTTGTGTAGTTGATGGTGATTAATGCTTAATTATTTTTCCTTCTTCTCTTAGATCTTCTACTCCTTCGGTGTGGCATGTGGGTCTCTTGTCACTTTGGCTTCGTATAACAAGTTCAACAATAACTGTCATTTTGATGCAGTGTTCGTCAGTTTTACGAACTTCTTGACCTCTGTGTATGCTGGATTTGCCATCTTCTCTGTGCTGGGTTTCCAAGCTCAACTCATGGGTGTTAGTGTCAACGGTAAGTAATTTTCTTTGTTCCTTCAGACTGATACTGATTTATGATGCAAATTGTTATATAATATGTTTAAATCCCGTACTCAGTTCAATGTGTTTCTTAACTGTTAAACTAGTAAACTGTTAATACTATTAAACTGAGTTGGACTTAAATTTTGATGCAAATTAGGTTTGTTCAAAACGTACGTCAAGACTTTTTAAAATTTTATTATGTTTTTGTTTTTGTTATATAAAACATTTTATGATACTGTGTAATGGCAAACCAAAAATATTCAATAGATATGAATATCTATAATGATGTATTCATAATTGTCAATCTAAACGTATCAAATTCCGTTAAATTAATTCATTAATTCGTGTTATTAGTTAAAAACTAATTCCAAATTCATAAGGTTTATTTAAATCCGTTTAATAATATCCGTTCATAGAAAAGAATATACGTGTTCCCAGAACTTAATGAATAGGTACAAATACATATTTATTCACACAATAATAATATAATGAATCAAAACAAAACAATGTATATTAAACCTATTGCTTATTGAACTGAAAGCCAGTTCCTACTATTTTGACTACGTAAACATCAGAATAGTTAAAAATAGTGTAACAAGCACGGCTCCGGCTCGACTTCAACTCAGCAATAACATTGTCATTTAAATATGAACTTTCAATCGTATGTCGTATGATATATTTCATAACGACAATAAAAAGCTGTAAGCATGCCGCCCACGCGCCTTTTTGTAGTGTTTTCAAAGTAAAAAACGCCATGTCGGAGTCATACCGGAGCCATGAGCTTATGTGTGCAATGAAAAACGGTGTGCAGTGAAAATCGTTTGACTTCGTTCGATTCACGAAACGGCCAAAGTACTAAATATTATGTATGTTTTTCGACTTATTTAAGTTACTGTTTGACGAGGAAATTGATTAATTTCAAGCCATACTAGGGGCTCATATTCATGAGCAGCATTCCGCGACAGTCGCCGCGTCATGGGTCGAGTTCCTCGTCAAACAATTACGTCATCATCATCAACAGCCTATGTGCCCACTGCTGAGTAATTTGGTTATTATGACCAGTTGTTATGAATTTAATTTGATAAATTAATCACTTTTGTCGTAACATACATATGTATATACCAATATAATCTCTATGGCCAAAATCAACATAAAAACAGTACAAAAAATCCAGTGCCTCCATGTTCACGATTAACTCAAGTTGATTAATCCTGGCGTTGCATTGCCGCGGGCTGGCAAACACCAGTGGAGAGCATACAATACACACTATGAACCCACTTAAATATTCAGCCGTGCCATGCAATGCTATTAAATTAATTCCCCGTTGTTTTGCACGTCAAATATTGAAATAGGTAATATGAAAGCCAATATGACGAATTCCGTATTGTTTTGGAGGCCTTTGCTAGTTTGTACGATTGATTTTGACACTTATATCGATGTGGTGTAGGTTCAAATGTGTATTGATTTCAGAGAAATTGTAGGTAGAAATACCTATGTGTACAAATCTATGCTTCATAAATACAAAGCCAATTTGCTAATGTAAAAACCTAAACACAAAACAAATGACTTTAGTATAAAATAAATATGTATTTAATGCAATAAATAACAAATGAAAAGAATTGGTTCACACTTAATTCTGATATATTGGATACCTGAGAATCAGTCAGAGCCAAGGGAATAACCTACTTCACCTTTCGAAAGTAAGAGTAACCACAAAAAACGGGATCTATTTGCAAGTCTGTTTGTCACGTTTTCATAAAAGTCAAAATCATTTATTTCAAATAGACCAGGAACAGGGCACTTTTGAACGTCAACAACAAAAATTTAAAAGTAAGGCTATTTGCTCATTCCAAGGTGTAGATTCCTATGGAGAAGACCGAGCAAGAAACTCCATAGGTTACTCTTTTTCAATCAGGTTCACAATACAATTCTCCAGTTACACAGTTTTATTGGTTGGATTGGGCGAGGACTATGTACCACCAAAATCCAGTCAAAGAGATCGAAAAGAAAGTAACCTTAAAGACAATAAATAATGCAGTCTAGAGCTGAGTTTATCTATCTAAATAGGGCCTACCTTATTTTTTCTCAACAGATGGCGTGTTAGTGTTTCTTTATCCTATAGGGAATTAGCTAGAGACACACCATTGGATGTTCAATATTTGACAACTACTGTCATTGGACAAAATTATCAAATCTATGTTTGTAATCTAGTCAGCAAAAATACGTTATCCCCCTTTGCCGAGTCGCTTTAGATTCGTCGCACATCTTTAATTAACAGATGTCAAAACAATACACGTTACATTACTAAAATCCGTCGTAAAAAACTGAAACGAACCTAACTAATCGTTAGCGTTCTTATACGTTACTTTTGTAAACTGTCGATAACAAAGCTTAGAAATATCTCACCCGTGTTTCCAAATTTTACTAAAAGGTTTTTCCAGCCCAACTAAAATAAACCACGACTATGAAAAAAAAAGAATTTTAATCAAACTCTAGTCAGTGCCTGGTGTGCAAGTCCCTTCAATCCAATGCGAACACTCGATCCCATGTTGATTCCACTGTTACGAATGCAAGCCTTGTTTGTATTCTGTTTCAAGATAATGGATTGATTAAACAGTAAATATTTCATTCGGCCGCACTCTAGTGTGTTAGCGTTTTTGGTTACGCGAGCATCGGTTCTTTGTACAGCTCGGCGCTTTTGTATGGGGAATTTTGAACAAAGAGTTTGCATACGCCTTTGAGGGATCCGAGAAACTGATATAGAGTTGAGTGGTCTTGTGCTACAAGACTCATGATGACAGAGTTGTAATGTCAAATGGACTTCTACAGTCTCTGTTAATTCGCCAAAATATAGAATTTGATACGTCTATCAACTCTATTGGTATAATGTACTTAATAACAATAGGTAGATTGCACGGTTGGTGCAGTGGCTGGGCAACCGGCTGCCGTGTAACATGTCGCGGGTTCGATTCCCGCACCGAAAAATACTTTGTGTGATCCACAAATTGTTGTTTCGGGTCTGAGTGTCATTGTGTATGTGAACTTGTATGTTTGGAAACGCCCCCACGACACAGGAGAAAATCCTAATGTGAGGCAAAGTTTAAAAAAAAACGATAAAGAAATACAATGCTGCTGCAATTTTTAGTATCCTACGCGCGTACTTTGTTTACCAACCCATATTCAAATATGAACAACATAACAATATAGTTCTATTTCGGTTACTCTCAAACTTTATGACTTCATGCAAACCTTTGTTTATTCTGCCAAAAATCCCAACAATTTTATGACAAAACAAACGAGGGCCGCTTTCCATACATAACAAGGGATATTCGACCTTGTGCAAACCCCAAAATGGTGTTATTATAAATCACTCGTGTATCTATTAATTGCTTTTTGGTCTATCGATAAAGGTGTTATTGCTATACATGGTACCATAACAATGATGTACCTATGATTATCGCATGATAAACACGTTATATTGACTAGGATTTCACGTGCAATATTAGTGCTTTCATATATATTAATATTGTTTTGTGTGATGTTAATAGCTTTGAGGAGGATAGGAAGAGTTGCCGTGATAGATTAGTTATTATATTGATTAGGATTTGCATGATCGACGATTTACTAAAGACTAGTACTGACTCTGATAGACTGAAATGACAAAACCTTTAGTTTAAGTAAAAACACACTATGTCTGCAAAAAACTAAATATTTAAAAAATCTACTATTTATAAGTAACTTATAGACAATGCACGACAAAACTACTGGTATTAAAAAGTTGCGATGTAGGTGTTTAGATTATTGAAATGCTCTAAACAAAATGTTTCTATGAACAGCTATCAGAAAATAATTTCTCACTCAACTCTTTTACTTTCAGATGTGGCGACGGAAGGTCCTGGCTTAGCATTTGTAGCATACCCCGAAGCGTTACTTCAGATGCCTGTCTACAGGTTGTGGTCTATCCTGTTCTTCTTGATGTTATTCATCCTTGGTCTTGGAAGTCAGTTCGCTGGCATTGAAGCCATCAACACGGCTATTGTCGATAGATGGCCACACTTGAGGAAGAATTACTGGAGGGTGAATATCTTTGTCATCTGTTTTTATTAATATTATTTTTATTTATTAATAATAGTTAACTTCACTGCCAATGTTTATGGGATGTTTGAACACAACAATAATTGATATTTTACGCAAAAGTTTTTTATAGTTGTAGTTCCCCACGACATTGGAGAAAATCCTAACACACTGGGGCCATATTTATTCAAAAAAATTAAAATGCGTCATATTTATATATTTTTTATTTACTAGATAGGTTGACGTTTGGCTACCGTCTCGCCTGGTGGTAAGCAATAATGTGGCTGACGATGGAGCACGCCTACCTATGAGCAACCTGTTTACTCGAGACTTGACTTTGACTAGACACCCAATTTATATTTGTCAGGAAACACAGATTCCGGCATTGTGTTTATATAATCTTACTACCGCTGTCATAATGTAGAGAATTTTGAAATCGAATTATTTAAAAAGAAAAGTCATTGTCCAATTTGAGTATTGAAGCCCCGTGCTCAGTTTATGTTCCGACAAACCATTGATTAAGAAAATAGAAAGAAAGAAAGAAAAACTTTATTCCACACGCTAAAACAGGTGACACGTAAAGATTTTACACATATGTTTATATACATCTACTAATATCCCAAGTCGGTGGTGAAAAATCAGATAATTAGGATAAAAACTATGTAAAATAAAATAGTATCCACGATAACCAATCTTCCTCTATTCCAGGTGACTGCGTTCACATGTCTAACATGTTTTATATTGGGGATACCGATGTGTTTCAGCGGTGGAGTGTACTTGTTTACACTTCTTGATTGGAACACTGCCTCTTGGGCCATTCTGTTGATTGGTATAGCTGAGGTAAGTTTTTATGAAGTTACATAATATTTTGTAATATATTGTCTTTTATTTCACAAAGGGCCGATTTCCAATCATCAATTAATTCTTTACTGTAAAATAAAATTGACATTTGACAGTTTTAGTATGGAAGAATTGTCAAATATTGATAGTTATTCCTCAGTTAAAATCTATCTGAGCATTGAAAAATTGGCCCTAAGTTATTGATTTTTTGTCTCTGTATAAGTGCAGTTTTTAAATGAGCAAATCTTTTAAACAATGATATTTGTAGTTTCAATTTGATAATTGTAATGCCCGAATACTGAAACGCAACTCAATTTAAATCGCGCTTAAAGTAGTTCTGTCATTACAAATTCTTTATAAAATGACAGAGACGGCACGATAATTAAGTACAAGTTAAAATTGAGTAGTTTTTCAGTATATGGGAGTAAATGTTTTAAATAAATTTTAACCAAGTAAATAAACAATAATCTAAGTACCAATTAATTATCTATACACCGATCTAAAACTATTTCTAAAACTTTTCAGTGTGTTGCTGTATCTTGGAGTTATGGTATTGACCGTGCTATGAAAGATCTCAAGTCTATGGGCATGCCGCTAAACAAGGTCCTCCGTTTCTACTGGAAAGCAGTATGGACAGTCGTCGGCCCTGTAGTCAGTCTTGTAAGTATTCATATGTGATTAAACTTTTTCTTCTCCTCTTATAATATCTTCTGATTTACTTCGTTGTGGGAACCAAGACAGTTATTCATGTCCCTGGGACGCGCCGGACTTCAGTGTTCTGGTATTTCCATGGTTGTATCTACTATAGATCCTGGCTTACAGGAGTTGCAGCGGTTTTAGGAGGAAAGGCGGGCTTGTCCCATTTAAAAAAAAATATATGATCAAACAATTTTTATAAAAAACTTTTGTAGCTACTGGCGGCCATGCAAGAAATTGCAATAACCCACCTTGTTCAAATGATTTTCAACTTTACTAGCAATACAAGTAAAGATTAAACGACAATGACAATTCCTTTCTTTCTGTTTTAAATATTTTTATTTGGCAATTGGCACACAAAACAAAAATTATGAAAAATAAAAAAACGGATACTTACATAAATACACAATATTAATATCAAACTTAAAAGAGTAAAAAACAGAACAAAAATCATTAAAATATAACAAAATAATGTAGGTACATTCAATACGAAACAAATACAATACTATAAATAATAAATCTTTATTAATAGTAATATTGTAGTGCGTGTGCTCATGCCAAAAGGGCCTGGAGGCCCTGAGGTGGACCTCAGCATATAGTTGTGCGTTCCTGCCAAACGCTGATTTTCAGGTGGCACCCTGCAGTGACTCACTTTTACTCTTTTTGGATGAGGTGACAAAGGAATAAAGTTCAAAATTAGTCATAAAAGAGTGACAGAAATATTAGAGAATCTTTTTACATCGGTTCATAGCACAAAAGAGGAATTTGAAGATAGGTAGTGAAATGTTTTTCAAAATATGTAAGCCTTGTATTTATAAAAATTATATGAGGATGATGCATAAGGTAATTCGTCGTGGTGGCCCGGAGGTGAAGACGTCCGCTTCTCATGCATGAGGATGGGGTTCAAAACTTACCAACGGAAAGTAACAATGTGACTTTTTCCTAGTTGTATTTACTGGGCGAGCCTATTGTCATATACCGGGTACAATTCCAGACTCCGTACTACTACTGAGAATTTATAAAAAACCCACAAATACTTTGCCCGACCCGGAAATCGAACCCAAAACCCCTTGCCCGGCAGTCGCACTTGCGACCACTCGGCCAACGAGGCAGTCAGACAATTAAATTAAATATTCAGAAAATAATCATTATTTATTATCTTTTTCTCAGATAATACTAACAATGTAGTAACAATAATTAAGATTGTATCTTTCCTCGTGCGTAAGTTGTTAAACTGATTGAAATTGAAGATAAATATGATTAGATAATAATTTATTCATTAATAGTGGAAAGTTTCTTATTGTTTTAGTGGACTTTTTCTCGCGACTGTTAAAGATTAGGACCTGCCCGAGTAACATATTATTAAATATGATATACATGACTACACGGTTAGTACAGTGGCTGGGGAACTGGCTGCCATGCCGGTTCGATTCCCTCACGGAGCAACTCTTTGTGTGATCCACAAATTGTTGTTCCGGGTCTGGGTGTCATGTGTATGTGAACTTGTATGTTTGTAAACGCACCCACAACAGGAGAACTTCATTGAGCGGGGCATCGTTTTAAAAAAAAATTAAAAAATATATATTAACGCTTAGTTAGTTGGTTAGAAAATACAATTAGTAACAATTATGGACCGTCGTAGCCATTGGTCAGTTCAGTAGCCAAATAATGGGTCGTGTATCTATACTGAATCAATCTTTGCGTACCAAATAACTTGGTTAAACGTGCGTATATATGTCACTATGTGTGTGTGTGTGTGTGTGGATAATATTTAATTACAGCTAGAGTATTACAAGATAATTCTCACGCACGCAGACAATTAATCAATTAGATTAATTAGAGATAATTGTTGCCGTTGTGTTATCAATCGATTAACTTGTACTGGTACGTGGTTCACGAATTCCTTGTTAATTACTTGATCAATGTATTAAGTACCTATGACTTTCTATCTTATGGAATTACTTGTAATATCATCTGGAGTGTCTGAGGTCTTCCTTACCCTAATTATTTATAAAACGGAACGAAACCGAAAAACATATGACTAATGACTTAGCGAACGCTCTAAAGCTAACCAAACATTGCCAAATAAAACGATTTACCTACCTAATTGTTATTAATGAACTTGCTGTTGCCCTCGACACCGTCCGTGTAAAATATGCATTTTAGACCATAACTTTTTTGTTTCAATTTTCCAAAATAAAAGTAGCCTATATTACTCGTTAGTACATCAGCTACCTGTCAATAAAAGTTTAGCAAAATCAGTTCAGCCAGTACAAACAGACAGACAGTGAAAATTATAAAAAATAATATTTTGATATGTGTATCGTATACATATATTCATGTGCAATGTGCATGTAGTGAAAAGCGTAAACAGTCACCCTAATTTTATTTATGTGTATAAATTTTGAAGCAATTGTCTTCAACCAATTAATATTGAACTGAAATTTTGTATACACATATAATTTTGTTTAGTTTACCACAAATGCTGTAAAATGTTTTAAAAGCATGTCATGAGAATGTATACATCATTCATCTAAAGTCATGTAAAATAGACAAACAAGAATTCTTTTTTTATCTTTTTTTTCTCTCTCTTTTGTTTTAAACCTTTATATTGTTATTTTGTCAAATTTTATATTCTTTTTTTTTGATCCTGGCATTATTGCCGTATGCCGAATAAAACACTTTTCATTTAATTTCATTTCAATTCAACGAGCAATACTAATGAATATCTTTCTTTTTTCTTTATAGGGTATCCTGATCTTCACTTTCTATGACTGGACACCTCCGTACTATGAAGACTACAAGTTCCCATTGTTCGCCGATTTGCTGGGCTGGGCCGTCGGTCTATCAACACTAATTCTATTCCCAGTTGGACTCGGATGGGCTCTGTATCATGGATATGTGAGTATTTTCTTCAACACTTATTCATCCTAACCGAAATTCTTTAAAATATTTTCCAATGCAACATTAGAAAACATTCTTATTTTTAAAACAATTTGAATTTGTTTATTATCGAAATATTCATTAACATTTATATCATTCTGGTAATCGTAAAGACAGTATACTTATTGCAGTCAGGGAGTTAGTTGTTGTAGTTAGTAAAGTGTAAAAAAATTCTAAAAATCGAATCTGGAAGATTATATTACATTATATGGCATAAGTCGGTAAACGAGCAGACGGATCACCTGATGATAAGCAATCGGCGTCGCCTATGGACACCTGGAACACCAGAGGCGTTACAAGTGCGTTACCGGTCTTTTGGGGATTAGGAGTTTGAGGATCGTTGGGGATTCAGGAATTGGGGAGATTGGGGAAGGGGAGGGTAATTGGGCCTCCAGTAACCTCACTCACACGACGAAACAAAACGCAAGCGTTGCTTTACGTCGGTTTTCTGTGAGGCCATGGTATCACTCCGATTGAGCCGGCCCATTCGTGCCGAAACATGGCTCTCTCACACTTAAATTCCGCATACTCCCGGTAATGAAGAACAACATAAAACACGTAATTTGAAATCTGAAATTATAACTTGAATTTACTTTTATTACAGAGAGGCAAACAACTGTTCACACCAACTGATGCCTGGCAGCCAGCAAACAAAGCTCTCATCGCCCCTCGGTCAGATTCGATCGTAACAACAGATTCTGTACATCAAGGACCTTATGACAACGTGGGATACATTATGTGAACATGTCGCTATATAAGTAAAACTAACACGAGTATCTAGTCAAATGAGTTTGTTTATATTGAACCAAACTCAAAATGCTAGTATTAAGTTCAAAATACATCGTAGTAGCGACACAAAAAACTATAAACAAATGTTGCTTTTCAGGGTTCAAGTCTATTACAACCTTTAATATCTGGCATAATTTCTTATTGTTGTCATTGCAATTTGAGCCCTATTTATTATTGGCAAATGCAGGTTTAAAATCGAACAGCAATGATATGCTATCTATTTTGATACCTGTATAACTTTGACAGTAATGTCGTAATCGTGACGTCACTCGTGTCATGGGCGTAGGTAGTACTGTGGCAACTGCTTACCATCAAGTAAGTCTTATCAAGGATAAGCTTTGTTGCTGAAAGTAATATCATAAAAATAGCTACAAAATTAATGTGAAATCTTAGAACTGTTTCACTTTGCGGACACGCTGTATTTTTTACTAAAACCTATTATAAAATCCATTGTGACAAATAATGTTTGAAACAATGTAAACGAACAAATGTAATTACTGGAGTTGATTCTTAATGAAATAGACATAACAATATAACTTTGATAAAAATTGCGACGGGATACTAAATTATTTAATAAAAAAATTTTGTTGCAACTATTTTCAATATTTTTAATGAAAATAGATATCTGTATATATGAATCTTAGTTTAAGTAATATAAACGTAGTCTACTAATCGCCATGTAAAAAGCAGATCAAAAATCGATAAACAAAAAGACTAAAAAATGCTTTTTATTTGATGATTATTTTAGTATTGATTTACTTTCGTGGTAATTTTATATTTATGTATTTATTGTTTCGAGACAGAAAATATTTATTTAAAAAATAGAGACATAATTTATTGTTCCTCTTATATGCCTGTAATAATAAAACTATAATTTCTTGTTTGATTAAGTATCCACTATCCAGTTTCAGAAAAACTTCGTTCGGCAAAATGTCAGGTATATCATTTTTGAGAACAAAGTGTAGTGCATTAAATTGTAAGATTTTTGGAAATCAATATGTATATTAACTGTTTATAATTATTTAAGTTACTAAGAGCCGAAAAATAAATTAATGTTTTAACAAAACATTTTGGTTTTTATTTCATAGAAAAAGCCTTCTATTTTCAAAGTCCTTTCTCAGTCTTAACACAACATAAGCAGGTCTGTAAATCAAAAATACACTTCATTTGTATTTTCTATTATAAAACCAATATATAAACAAAAACATAGGCCTTTACTTTACACATAATCTATCAAAATGCTTCAATAGCTCCTACTACAATCAGTCTCACGGGACTTTGAAAAACAATTACATTTACTTCTAAAAACAAAGCAATATTCCGTCCTCAGTTTGTCAGTAAGAGAAGTGAACTTATCGGAGCTATCTTTAGACTACATGAAAAATCACTCACTCAAAATGGTTCGGCATACAAACTTTTATAAAGAAAATGACGCTCCACTGAAATAGTGATAGCCTGAGTTCTGTTCCCAGAGATAGATATTAAGTTTTAGGTAGTTTATTGGTTGTTTTGTTTGTCGGTATAGTAGTTGCAAATGTACTTGCTGAACAATGAGGTCTTTAATTCGACCCCTTAATTGGACTGACTGATTCACTGATGGACGGACTGACAGAATATTATTTGTTTTGTATTTGTTGATGTTTCAAAAGTAGCAAATTATGGTTTAATTGAAATAAATACTTACTAACTTAGACTTGACTTTGGGAATGAACATTTTTTATACCACAAGTACCCAGAGGTAGTGAAAAGGTACGAAAACATATCGAAATTTTGGATTGTAAAATTTAAGTCTTCAAAAGACAATTAGGTGATTAAAAATTATTTAACTGATTCTCTTTACTTTTTAATCACCTAAGCAACAGTCAATTTAAATTATATGTACAATCGTACACTTACATCAGTCAACTTCTATACGCTACGTCGTAGCAGCCGTAGACTGAATGGCTACGCCGTGGCACATTAACGATAAATAAACATTTCGATAAATTCCATCACACCACTTGTTTTTTATTGATACTTATTAATTAAACTCAATATCTATATGTACCATTATCTAAATCATTTTTTTAGCAGGAAAATCATCCAATGACTTCTCCCGCCTGGGTAAGGCGGGAGGGAGTGTCAGACTCTTACTGACTAAAAAACTACCCTGTTCCTTCGAGCCGGAGCCCTGGCAACCCGTTAAGTCCGTATCGGCTCCGTATCGGCCTCAACCCTGTTGGGTTCTAAATCTAAATCTACAATAACAAAAAGTGCAAAGCTCTCTCCATCAACTCTCTTTTCTTAAAAATCTTATTCTAAAGATGCTTTTTTTAACTATTTGAACCTAAAAAAGAAACTAATCTGGCAAAGGAATACATTATCACTAGTCAATTTCAAACCAAATTACGTCGAAGTTCTCAACAGATTACAAAAGTAAGGCCACACAAACTTATGTAACATGTTCGTACTCTCAAATAACTCAGTCTGAAGAAACCTACTGCTGAACTTGCACGTTAAAACCTGCTTTACTGTTGCAATAAGTTCACTCGAACTATTGCCCTTGTAACAGTGCCAAAAGGCATAAGAAATGCTTTTTTGGAACTTACTTTAGACTCCTCTACAGAAATACAGAAAAAATATATTAACAACTTCGAGGAACGAAATTTACCAGGTTGTACTACGCCGGTATTTGTTTATTATTTTTTGGCCCATCAAAGTACTTTATATAAAAAAGGTAAAATGAACGAGGTTAAAGATTTATTCACGCATTTGTTTAAGAATTTTATAGTCATTATTTTTTATAGAATCAGCCGGGAAACCAGTAGACGGATTACCTTATGGTAAACAATCGGCGTCGCTCATAGAAACCTGGAACAACAGAAGCGTTACACGTAAGCGTAAGCGTACGTAACCGGCATTTTGGGGATTAAGAATTTGAGAATTTTTGGGCATTTAGGGATCGGAGGGGAGGGGTAACAGAGCCTCCGGTAACCTCACTCACACGGCGAAACACAACGCAAACGTTGCTCTACGGCAGTTTTCTGTGAGGCCATTGTATCACTCCGGTCGAGCCGGCCCATTCATGCCAAAGCATGGCTCTCCCACACTTAAAATCACTTAGATCACTGAATATAATACTCTTCTAAAGTAACCAACAGCAGCAAGGCTTTTAAAATTTCATAGTCAAGGTCAAAAATGTTTTATTAAAATTTAAAGGGAATGTTTCTCACTTAATAAAACAAACACTCTAATGTCGGCTCCTTCAAATTCTCGAGAGATAAACTTAATTCGAAGAAGCACTTAATATCTACTTAATCCCAAAGCGACGTGTACTCAAGTTAATTCCTAGAAACGTCCATCAGAAACCGAAAAAAATAAACCCGATAGCATCTAGAAATTAATTAAATTTGAAAACACTTCGCAGCCAAGCGCAATATTAATCCAAACTCATCTGAGACCCTACAATCTCGGATAAACTCTCATTCTGAATCAACCACCTAATCCCTCTAAGATTGAACAAAATTAATGTGAATTTTAACCATAACAAACGTTCGTAAAGTATCCTTTGGGTTTTACTTGATCGAAATTTTATTATCTTGGCCTTTATTTTTGGGCGACTTCCATAACTCGATACGACTTGATGACGGCGCGGACCGATCTTGGCCCCGCCCTACTTGGAATATCGTTATGATTGCTTTCAACTTTTTAATTAAACGCCTTGTCAAGATAAAGTGAAAGAAATGTTTGAGTTGTTTTACGCTTTCTTGCAAAAAACTAATTTAGATAGGCGATCGGCGGCGTACAGCGTACACTGTTTAGGGTTGCGAAGGGTTTACTAATTGGAATTGGGATTATTACTTGAACTCTTTGGGCGAGTACACGATTATTTTTATTAGATCCTATATTTTATTCTCAGCACTATATAATTCAGAGAAAAGGTTGTGATTTTTCCATTCGATTCATTTTAGTTTATTAAATGGCCTAAAAATACCGGTTTCAATTACTTCACATGTCAGTTTTAAACCCAAAACGGTAATCGAAGTGGAATAACATTCATAAATTTCATGCTAACTTGACATGAGATATGAGTTTACTAAAATATTTATATCTATTTTTCAAACGGTCTGATAAAAAACGTTGGTGAAACATTCAACCCTCGGGCAATGTTAAAAATATTCAGATTTTCAACAAATCGTTAGGCGGTTTGATTTTAAGTGATATTATAAACTCTTCATTTTGTTCTATTCTGTAACTAGCTTCTTCCCGCAGCTTCCCTCACATTCCAGTGGGATAAAAAGTATCATATGTGTTATTCAAGACCATAACCTATACTTGTTCTAAATTACATCCCGATTACTTCAGCCGTTTTGAATTGATTGAGTAACAAACACACACAAACCCATTAACCCATAGGCTACTTTTTAGCCCTGGAACGCGAACGAAGCCATTGGAAGAAGCTAAAACGTAATATGGTGATTGAGGTGTTTATAAACCTACTAGCTGACCCGGCGAACGTTGTTTTGCCATATATATAATTACTAAAATGGCTATTATAAATAAGGGTTGATCGTAGGAGGGTGAAAATTGAGGATTGTATGTATTTTTGTATGTTGTATCATAAAAAAATAGAAATTAAATATTTTGTCTAAAAAATAAAAAAAAATTAGGGGTGGACCTAACCTAACCTAACATTTAGGGGGATGAAAAATAGATGTTGGCCGATTCTCGTAGATACCGGATAAGCACAAAAAATTTCATCAAAATCGGTCAGGCCGTTTCGGAGGAGTATGGCAACGAAAACTGTGACACGAGAATTTTAAATATTAGATAGCGACCTGCCCCAGCTTCGCACGGGTGCAATATGCATGTATTATACATATAAACCTTTCTCTTGAATCACTCTATCTATTAAAAAAACCGCATCAAAATCCGTTGCGTAGTTTCAAAGATTTAAGCATACAAAGGGACATAGGGACAGAAAGCGACTTTGTTTTATACTATGTAGTGATGTCATTTTGCGTAACAAAAAGAAACTTTAGATTCCTAATATTACAGTTCATATTGTAATATTCTATCTAAGTTCCATCTGTTTATCTAAAGTTTGCGTATTGTTACCTCCACTATAATGCCCGAGTGTTTCAGCTTCGTTTGCCCAAAACTTTAGCCGTAGCATATGCAAGTTTGGCAGTCAGAGCATTAAGTAAGCAAGATCCGTTCTCTTTATAACCATTTGCATATTGTAGTCAACGTATCTTAGAATATTATGAAGTTTGTTACTGTATGAGATCTCAATTCTTTGTAATGTTATACGCGTGAGACCGCGAATCTGATCTAACATTACACTGAGTGGGAAACCAAAATGATTCGCTACACTATAAGCCAATGCTAGGTGTGTTCTAGACAGTTCAGTAAATAAATATAAATATAATGTTATGGAGACAAGTCAACGCTTACATAAAACATTATTACATAAACCTTGATTGGTTTAAAACTACAACAGGTAGTTCGCGGCGACGTCTGGCAACCTACTGGCATCGCAGAGATCTCATGAGGAAGAACCCTTCTATGGTTCGAAACTAG